AAAAATGTTCGAAGCAAGATGATTTTTGACTCGGATGTCGAATTTAGACGCATAACATATCAAAACGAAGAGAAAAAAGAGAAGAAGAGAAGACAAATTTCAAAGGGGATTTGTCCTAACAGTTTTCCCAAAATATGCTCCTAAGCACATGTAATACACAAAAGTTTATGCGGGTATAACCAGAGGTAATTGCTTTCAACATTTGTTAAGTTTATTTACCTTTGTCTCTATTGCATGTTAACTGGAGTCAAATTAATGTTTCAGGTATTTCAAGATTTATCCATCTCCACTATCAGAACATGATATTACACATATTAGAGAACAAAGAATAAGATTTTTTGTTCAATACTTCTATTTTATTTTGTATTGTATGTTATTGTTTGTTTTGTATTGTATGCTTGTATTGTTTGTATCTTTTGTATTATATGATATCTAGACTAGCTGCAAAAAAAAAAAAAAAACATTTATGTCGGACTAGAGGCATACCCAACGTAAATTTACGTTGGTTACCTTCAGGGTCCGACATAAATTTTCGTCGGTTACCCCCAGGGTCCGACATAAATTTATGTCAATTACCCCCAGGATCCGACGTAAATTTATGTTGGTTGCCTCTAGGGTCCAACATAAATTTACATCAGTTGCCCCCAAAGTCCGACATATATTTATGTCTGTTATCCCTAGGGTCTGACGTAAATTTACGTCGGTTACCTCAGATTCGACGTAAATTTATATTTCTCATATTAATGTCAAACTTGATTCTGACATAAAAAATCCAAAATAATAGACGTAAAAACCCAATTTTATACTAGTGTCTTATTCCTAATATTTATCACAATTATTATTGGTATTTATTTTTTATAAAAGTCACCATTCATGTCTTTGTTATGTTTGCAAGAAAAACACGTAACAAACATAATATAAGAGGAAATGAGTTAGTATTCCGACCAAGACGTCACACAATATGATTAACTAAACATTCTCACATGCTTAATGAGTGAGTACCGAATCTCACAGCACAAACATATTTTTAATCTTTATTGAAAAATTTAAATATTGATGTCAACCATCATTTTATAACGACATTATTTTTTGATGGAGATTCGAAACGCACATCTTTCACCTTTCCATCAGAAAAACAATAGTAACATTAAAAGATGTTATTGCTCAATTTGGTCTTCCAACTGATTAAGAGTATGTTACTGGTCCTAACATTGGTGATTTAGTCTCTTTTTGTGAACCTTTATTATAGTAAATTCTATCGAAAGGAGTGACAAAAGGAAATTTAATTAAATTTTCTTGGTTAAATGCAACATTCTAACAACTTTTCCATGACACAGACGACAATGTTATTGCTCAATATGTTAATGCGCATATTTTATGCGTTATACGAAGTTTATTGATGTTAGATACATCAGCTTTTAGAGTTCACTTGATGTATACTTTACTTTTAGAATACCTAACTGTTGTGTCTTGATAAGAGTATTTCGGTCGTAATGGCTAAATTAATGCAATATAGCTAACCTGTATCGAATCTCACAAGGACACAATTATAGGAACGTACTCATTACCATATATAATTATCTCTAAAACAGTAAATAAAGTATGAATGAAAGAGTGAAAGAGAAATAAATTGATGCATAATTTAAATAACTAAAATTTATAAAATTAAATAAAGTGCTTTTAATTAAAATTACAAGAATCAAGAATTACTTTAAAATAAAATAGTGCAAGTAATTAAATTTGAAAAGAAAAAAGTGTTGCGTAGTAATAAATAGTAAATTAATGAAAATAGAATTTAAATAAAACAATGAAAATAATTGATTTCCTGATTTAAATACAATGTCACTTATCCTAAGTTACGAAATTAAATTGTTTTAACCCTTATTCCAACCCGAAATTAACTAACTAAGTAAAGATTAACCCAAATTATCCTTATATAATTAAGCATTGCATACATCACATAATCTCATCTCTAACACAGAATTACGCAAACTGTGATATTGGTTTCAATTTATTAAGCATAAACAGATTATAATTCAACATTGAGATTAGGAGATTAAGAGTTAAAAGAACAAACGAAATAGAAGAACAAAACCTTAAATATCTACTGCATTCTCTTCAGAAAATCAATATAAAGATTTAGCTATCCATGGAAAATCGAAAATGCAAAAGAAGAGATATAATTAAAATAAAAACAAGAATTTAAAATAATGACAGAAGAGTAAACAAACTTGAATACAAAATGTAGAAGACGAAACTGACGTTCCTAGGATGCAGCTGCTTCTTTGTGGCTCCTTCCTCTTTAACCCTACGTGATCAATATATAACCCTAGTCTGCCTCCAAATTTTTTCCCAACTGGCCCATAAAACATATAAAAAACGATTAAGATAAAAACCTTAATCCTAATGGACAACTGACATGATATCTGACCCAATCTTCCAAATCCAAAATTGCTTTAAACTGTCCTGAAAATAATAATGAGCAAAAATTAGATCAAATAGATTCAAATTAATTAAAATCTGAATTATTGACCCAATCAAATCAATTAATAAAAATTCACTAATAACAGACAGTTAAGCCCAAAATACTAATTAAAATAAGTACAGAAAGATAAAAAAAATATGAGAATATAATGACTCATCATGTCTCACTATATTTAGGGATCTGCTGTGCTTGCTTGTTTTTATTGAACTTTAGACCATAAAGTTGACCCTAACTAAGAAAATATTGGAGGTTGTATGATACTTCTTCAATATTGGGCATGCGACCATATTACATGTCTTTGTCCACCTATTCTAAATTTAACTTATAAAAATGTATAGGATTTAGTTTTTTCCTAGAAAAAGGTATAATGTTTCATTTGTATTTGATCTTAGCATTTTTTATCGTAAAATAACAAAATTATTTTTTATCTTAGGTGGTCTCGACTTGATGAAAGGTTAAATACCCTTACATATGTCATACATGTAGTATGATACATGTTGGATAAGCTAGAACCAAAGGAGGTATTACAACAATAAAATTAGTATTCTTGCATACATATTTTTATTTTAGATAATATATTTTTACTTCAATTTTAAGTTTATATGAAATTTTTATCATAAAAGTGTCATACAACAATTAATAAATGCTAAAGTTTCTCCTATTTCGCGTTTATAGTACCCCTTATTTGTTTCACAACTATTGAATTTTATTAGGTCGATTAAGTCGTGAGATAGTTTGATCTATGTTAAAATATTCCTCATGATCCAATAATTCTAGATGAACTTCAAAGAATAGATATGAGGAGTAAAAGAGACCCATTTTGGCCACAATATCATTAATAATGGATTGTGTTATGGAATAACTAACATAATCAACTAATTAGAGGTCAAATATACCTTATATACAATAATATTTTTAATGTACTATATGACATATTTTCATTAAACAAATACAAAATATAAATGATGAAATAAGTATAATATATTATTTTTTTCATTTTGTTATATTTTTCCCAAAGTTATTATTTTAATATATTTTTTCATTATTATGATATACTAGAGGACAAACAACAACAAACGTCTCAACCACCTTATTTACATGTTAGTCCATCTACTTACAATATATCTAATTTCAATCAAGTAACCTGATCCATTTGGTTATTTGCAAGCTGATTTGTCAACTTATCAACTTGATTCATCTATTTTTCAGCTAATTCCATTTTATGGTTAGGTTGATAATCTTTAAAATTTATTTGTGGAAAGTAATTTTGGAGTTCATGTCACTTATGTGATGCCTTCTACATAAATATTTTTGCAACCTCTTTTATGATTTCACTTTCAACATACCATGCAAGTAGATCTATTATTATCGTCCAGTAATGTCTATACCTTTGAATCCAACTCAAAAAGAGAAATATGATGATACTAATATAAAAACATAATAAAGACATATCCTTAATAAAATGAAAAACTTAAACAAAATAAGAGAGAATCACGATGTGAAATAAATTTTCAGTACTAAATTTTAAAACTTATATCTGTAGTTCGTTATTTTAAAATATATCATATTTTTATTAATATAATATATATCATTTTATTAATTAATCTTATGTATTTTTAATTTTTTACTTATAAATTTAATAATTAAAAAAATATAATGACTTTTAGAGTTTTATTTAATAGCACAATTTTGAGTTAAAAAAAATAAGATACAAAGAGTCATGCTATTGAACTCCACTTTCATATTAAAAAAAAATTATAATAAAATTGTTTTATATAGTATGACTTTCTTTAAAAAAAAATTTAAAAACCAAAATAATGTGAAGTAGTACGATTTTATTTTATAACAAAATTTATTACCTAAGACTTATCTATTATTTATAATTTTTAAGAAAATTTATACAACCATAATTTTCACACCAAATTACACCAGATTAATAAATAAACCCGTGTTGAAGTATCTTAGTGTTCAACCAATAGTTTCGCGGATTTATTTATTTTTTCTTTAAATGCTGATACATAAATAAATAGCCATTATAAAGTTTCTTATAACTGAACCTATTTCCTAATAACATTTGTTTGAAATCATGATCTATCCGTAAAATAATAATTAACTTAGATTCAACAGGTGAATTAAAAAAATAATTAAATTAACATAGCATATATTTGTTACCTCTTGGTGACCACACTAATAAAATATATTAGACGACTCTCTTTTACTTCATTTTTACTATTTTTTTAAAACACACTTGTAATTACTTATAAATATAAGATATAAGGGCAGTTCGGTTCAATTTAACGTAAGTTTGTATAAAGTAAACAATTTAAAAAATAATTACTCTTTAAACGGGTCGTAATCAGTTATTTATTCTCCTTTTCCGGGTCGGGTTTGGGTTTAGGCAAAGCGAAATCCCGTTGGGCCATTCCTGGGCCTATTGTAAGAAGGTTCAACACCTGAAAATCTCGGGGCAGCCACTGCAACAGTGAAGGTCATCGAGAGAGGAGAGAAGAGAAGAATGTCAGGGTTAAAGGAATTGCTGAAGAAAGGGTTAGGAGACATGGCCTTCAACGCCGGCGGAGGAGCCATCACCTGGTTCCCCGGCCACATGGCCGCCGCCACACGCGCTATCCGCCACCGCCTCAAACTCTCGGACCTCGTCATCGAAGTCCGAGATGCTCGCATTCCCCTCTCCTCCGCCAACGCAGATCTCCAGCCACACCTCTCCGCAAAACGACGCGTTGTCGCACTGAATAAGAAAGACCTTGCCAATCCTAACATCATGCATGTAAAATCATTACCACCACCATCATCAACAATGTATTGTCATTGTCGTTTACCTGTTCGGTTATTCACTGTAATTGTTGTTACTGCAGAAGTGGAGGCATTATTTCGAAACGTGCAAGCAAGATTGCATTCCGATAAACGCGCACAGCAAGAGTTCCGTGACGAAGCTTTTGGAACTGGTGGAGTTCAAGTTGAAGGAAGTCATATGCAGGGAACCGACTCTGCTTGTGATGGTGGTCGGTGTTCCCAACGTTGGCAAGTCTGCTTTGATTAACTCCATTCATCAGATTGCACAGTCTCGCTTTCCTGGTAATAGTTTCGCGAATTCGCGAAACCGTTGATTTGAATGAATTGGACAATGTTTTTTTTTTTTGTGTGTGTGTATAATAGAAGCGTTGTTGTTTGATAGTGCAGGAGAAGATGAAGCGTGCTGCTGTTGGTCCGCTACCTGGTGTTACTCAAGACATTGCAGGATTTAAGGTCCGGTTAACAAACATTAATATGAACATAAAGTTAAGACAATGTTCAAGTCATAATCGTGAAGAGATACAACATCATATCCTGTTTAGATAAATTTATTTGATAAACACAACTTAAGGAAAATAAGAAGGTAAAATACAACGAACTTCTCTTGTAAGCTAAAATCAACTTATGTAATTAACTTTTACATTGGCTCTCTTATCTAACTTTAGAAACCTGAGATAAATAAGTAGATTGTGCCTTCATTTTAACCTTTTTTATTCGTTGCGAATAAATACTTATGGAAAAGTTTATGTAATGTGGATCTCAAGGTTGTTGTTTTGATATAGACTGCACAGGTTCAGCCACTTCAAATGAAATAAAACATAGCAGATATTTTTTTCCCGAGTGACTAAGTCCTTGTATTCTCAAAACTCTGTATTTCCCAAGTTATTGCTTTAGGTTTAAAATTTAAATTGCTGAAAATGATATAAACGTTTACTGGTGTTCTTGTCCGTAGTTTCAAATTTTGTTGCCTAGGCTGTGCAAAAATTGTTTTATGTGTAGCAGAACTGCAATTCTTTTGATTCTATTGTTGTTCGTGGGAAGCAAAGCACAGTTTTATGCCAGAAACAATTCTGCCTCCATTCTGTTTCATGTGCCCCTTGAGAAAGGATGATTATTTCAAAAATAGATTGAAACAGATAGACGTTGAATCACATGAATAAAATTTAGATTCATGTGTCTGTCTAATAACAATTTTTCACACACTTTTAATCATGGATTCTTGTTGTATTGGTTTGTTTTTGAGTACATATCCATAAATTGGAGTGACCTACCAGTTTTTTGCTCATCCATAGCAACCTATATTCCAAGTATTATCTAATTGTGTACTTTTGGCATCTATATCAGTATGGTAAACATTCCTAATTGTTGCAAGTGGCAAAATGGCTCCTGTAACACAAGCGAACAGGGAACATGGAAGAAAATAGCATGAAAGACAAGCAATATGCTGTTGTCTTGGCTGAAGCTTTGGAATAGTCAGCAAAAACGGACTGGGGAAATTATTGTTTTAACTTTCGTTTAATAAAATGTGGTATTTGTCCTGTTTTTTATGTCATCAAAATAGTAAGAGTCTCAAGACTAGATACACTAATGATTTCGATCAGTTTCAAAACTCAATTAATTATTTTCTCTAACACACTCATGAAGTCTAATGAAGCTGCCATTTTAGTACAGAATTCTTTAAAATCCTAGTGTCAATAAATTCAAGGAATTATAACAATATATATGATTATTGTTTTTTTTTCAGGAAAATAAATTTGTACGAGTGAGGCATACCGTTTAAAATATTAAAAGGCACCTACAGCCCAATATCATACCTATAACGTTTACCCTTATGTACTACATATTTGGCTGTGCATTGTAAACACATAATGTTTACCCTTTCTGGAAAATATTGGAAACCTACTAACTGTATCAAAAATAGTTTTTATTTTTGTTTTGTCAAGATAATTTCAGAGATTATTTTTCTAGTCCATCCGTAATTTCTGAAAGTTTTTTCTGTGGGCTTGAATATTTATTATTTGGCGTATAAATGAAAAGAGTATTTGCAAATGAGAAGGAAGGAGGAAAAACTGCATATTCTATACTTCGTCAGCATTTTTGTTTTATTATCAGTATATCAATTGAATCTATTTTGAGTTTGTGGTTCCCATAATTAAACTATGACTCTGACCGGATGTTTCAGATAGCACATAAACCAAGCATATACGTCCTAGATTCCCCAGGGGTTCTGGTTCCAAGCATCTCGGACATAGAGACAGGGTTAAAACTGGCCCTGGCAGGTACTATATCTTTTAAAATTGATCTAGAATATTTCTTTGCTATTAATAAAATTTGACTCATTATTATCAGTGCATGGCTTTGTTAGCCAAAAGTAAGTACTGAAATTACATTTGTTTAATCTCTATACGTTTGATTACTGTGGATCTATTCGAAGCTTCTTCTGAGAACTGTGATTTATGAACTGGAATACGAATAAAAGCTTTAATTTGATTTTTCTTCCTCTTTGTTTCCCATTGGTTTAAAAGATAATTTGCAAATTGTACAAGGCTGAAATGAATTACCTTGTAGAGTTTTGCAAGAAAGGTTATGTTGTGAAATTTCAGTTTTTATTTCTATACATATTAGATGAATAAAACTTCTTACTGATGTCTTGGTTAGCCAATTTTTTTGAAGTAACATAAAGAACATTTCCAAATTTTTACACAGTAGTCTTCTTTTATATAGTTCAGTGTTTGTGTTGTCTCTCGGTAGTTGTTGCAGTTCTTAGAATTAGAAAGCTGTTAGTATTCAATAAAGGCAATTAATTTAGTTGAGAAGGGGCTCTGTCAAGGATGGGTATACTTCTCCTGATTCACTATAGGTGGCAAGAAGGATTCTTACTAGTCCTGTGATTAGGTCCCACATTAACACATAAGCTAACCTTGCAAAGTTTTACTTTGGATTTGATGTTAAAATCCATTAATTTGATTGTATTACTGTGCTGATTTATTCCCATTTCTGTGGAATTGATTTTGAACTTGTGATTGATGTTTTCATGTCGAGACTTTTGGTAGGATATAAAAGCTATTTGTTGATTGCTGAATCCTTCTAGTTGTAGTCCCATTTTTTGTATTCATTCTGTTTAAACTAATTGCGTATCAAACAAGCAAAATCCTTGTTTTTAATTTTCTATTTTCTTTGGTCCTACATCTTACACTATCATTTGTTATTTCCCCAGACCAATTTTGGCAACTGAATATCTCATTTTTTCATATGTTCCATTTTGAGTACGGGGCATTTAACTTGCCTCTAAATGGGACTAGGTAGGGCATCTGCAGCTGTTGGGTTTCTGAATATGATATCCTTTGTAGCACATGTGCTGGTATATTATGTCATGCAAACTTGGTTGATGTATCGACAGGGTCTGTCAAAGATTCAGTAGTGGGTGAAGAGCGTATTGCTCAATATTTATTGGCAGTGTTGGACACCCGGGGGACTCCACTTCACTGGAAGCACCTAAATAACAGGAGAATTGATGGGATTGAATACGAACCTGAGGAGAATCATGAATATAGTCTGAAAAATCTTAAGCCAAAGAGAAGAAATCTGCCAAATAGATCTGATTTGGTCTATGTTGAGGTAACAATTAGCATTTTTCTGTAGTTTTTCTCCCATGTGTAATGGAATATGATGCTTTTTGTAACTACCAATGCTTAAAATTTTCACTCCTTGGTTGATGAAGTCCCAATTATATTACACTTCCCAATTGTTTTAAACGCATTATATTATAAATATTCTTGCATTGGATGTTTTGACATTTAGTGTTGGTGTTAAATCCTAAGTCATTTCATCATGTTTTCGTTGTTGAATGTTGTTAAGTTATTATTACTCTCTGGGTTTAATTTAATAGCGCAAAGACAAAATGTTGTACAATATCGTGATCCATAGAATGCCATCTATCTGACAAACTGTTAGAATCTTATACAAGAGTAACCAAAAACCATGGTTACTACACATGGCTGCAGTTTTGTTAAAACTAAGACGACACACATGACTTTGTCTGCAAGTACACATAATTTGCTTAGTTTTTGGAAGGACTCACTGTCTCCTATCTTCAGTTCTACTTTGTCTTGCTCTGAAGTTACCAATGAAGGATTTTTTGAACTACGTTTCTGGCATTTGATGTTGCAGTTTGTGATGATGGAAAGTACCCACGTTTCTCATTTCTTTTTGTTTCTCTTGGCACTGATTTATTCCTATTCTACTGTAGGATCTTCTAATGGGAGTTCAACATGCACTCTATTCAACTCTAACAGAATTCGATGGGAATGTAGAAGATGAAAGTGACTTGGAGAGCCTTATTGACCTGCAATTTAGTGCACTTCAAAAGGCAATGAAGATACCTCACAAAGCTTCAGAAGCACGGTTAATGGTATCCAAGAAGTTACTTACTCTATTCAGAACTGGTAAGCTTGGTCCTTTCATTCTTGATGATGTCCCGGATGTCAAGCCTGTATCCTAATGTCGATTGAATCTTCCTCTCCGCCCCTCTTTTTCTTGTGTATTAGATTTCCTACCTTTACTACTTTTCCCATTTGTGCTATATGTATTATCTTTCATTCTAAATTTTGCTGTAACTTGTAAATATGGATGGATTTAATTTAGAAGGAGATTGAACTTTACTTCCTGTGGATGCGGGTGATTTGCCAGCATTGCAGTTCTAGAGTCTTTTTGACCCCCCAAAAAAGTAGCACGAGTCTAACCAAAGCATTTTTGGCCCCTAATACTTTCGGAGTTGAAAACATGTAAAATTTGAAGGAGCCTAGGGTGCAATTCTTAAATACTCGACAAGGCTCGGTGGGTTGTTATCTCCAGTAAATTTTATTTGTTATATAATTGAGAGAATTGTATTTGTTATGTTAGGAGGTTGCATTAATTCTCAGATGAGCTTAATTACAATGATTTAGTTTCTGTACTTCAAATTTGTTTAATTATTTTTTAAATTAAAAATATGTAAACTTAATCATTTTATCAATTTTATAATATAAATAAAACAATATTATTAAATATATAAAAATTAAAATTATATTTATTTTTTTATCAATTTTGTTAAACTAAAAAATTATTATTAAAAAATAAATTTAAATAAAAAATTGTTGAAATGATATATTTTCAAAGGTTAAAAGATTAATTATTCATTTATAAAAAAATAAGAACCAATATCAATTTTTTTTTAGAAAAATAAAGGATGGGAAATATATTTTATGCTTATTAAATATCATTTACATGGAATAATACTTTTATTTGGATACATGCCCCTCTTTTTGAAATTATATTATTAAATTAAAGCAAGAGTTCCTGAAAAATTAATAAAATTAGTGTAAATGACAGTGTAGAAATAAAAAATGTTGTTGAGCTTAATTTTGTGGACACAATCTGTTTCCAAATATATATAGTAAAACAATGTAGTTCAATATCTAATTTTTTTAAGAAATATTATTTATACATAACCATAAATTAGTCGGTTCACTTAAGACTGAATATAATCTAGGCCTAAAACATATATCATAATTAGTTGACTCGGTTCATCCGAAGTTAACTTATGTTTTGAAAATTGAGTCAGATACGTCACTGAATCTGTCCCGTATCTAGTTCATTGAATCATTAAGTTCACTTACACTTGCTCCACAAACTAGAACAATTAGTTAAAATATGGTTCATTCCGGGTTAGTAAAAAAATAGTTTTCATTTTTTAATACAAAGCAGTCTTGCTCTTCTTTAAATGTTAATATTAATCATTTTTTCATTTAAATGTATTATTATTAAATAATATTATTCTGCACTTCTAAAAGTTAGACCTAAATGTATCATTTAAATTTTAAAAATATATAATTTTAGTTTTTGGTATTAAATTATATTACATTCTCTAATTATTTTTTTATTATTATATTAATACCGGTTGAATCAACCTTCAAAACTTTAAATTAGTGTTTTGATTAGTTCAATGATTAGTAAAATATTTAGATTAACGGAATACCGTTATCCTCCCATCGTTCCTAATGGAAATATAGGTGTAGAAAGTATTTCATTAAAAAGAGAGAGGTGAACAAAGTAAGAAGATGGATGATAGAAATATTGACTAACAAATTTATAATTTTCTTATTTATTTGAGTATTTGTCTCTTTCTGGAATCTATTACGTCATACGTTTCCTTTTAAATTAACAAGAAACGGGAAACAAGTAATCTTATTTTTTTTATTTTAATTTATTAAAATTAATCTTTTACAACAAAACCTATTTTTTTTTCACGTTTAAATAACAAATAAAAGAATAATTTTCACCATATAAAATGTTTTCATTGTAGTTTATTTGATATTTATTCATTCAAATAAAAAAAAGGATTACTTGTTCCTTTGGAACTTACATTTTTATTGATAGCCTTCTATTTTTCTGCATTTAATTCATAATTGAAATAGTGGTATTCCAGCTTGGTGTGGTTTTAAATAAATTCGTGTAGTGCGAATTATGCAGCATTAATGATAAGGTGAAGGGCATAGATGAAAATTATAGGGAATTAAGCATCATAGTGGTGTGTTTTTTCTACCATCTAACTTTTTACATAAAAAATATTAATATTATTTTTTCACATAAAAATTCTAATAGTATTGTTTTACTCTAATATTTTTAACTATTTTCTTAATATGTATATGTTTTCTGGTTTTTAATCCACAATACAATTTTTTTCTTTTTTGTATTTAAAAATAAAGATGTTTTGAAGAGTTAAAAGTGTCTACTGACAACTGCTAAACGTTGATATTTGTTAGAAAATACAAAACCAAAAATAAAACATTTTTATTAATTTGATCTTTTAGTTTTTAAAAATTAAAAACAAAAATGATGTTAACTATTAAATAAGTTAATTATTTTTAAAAATAGTAAACAAATAAATTTTTATTCTCTTTATTGTAATTAAACAAAATAACTTTTTAAATAAGTTATGTCTTATTAGGAACATATTAAGGAAGAGACTTGTGCAATGATAAAAATGTACTGATTGTTTCATCTTAACTTTTTATTGAACTCATAACTGAAAGTAGAAATTTTGTATTGGAAAAGGTTTTGACTCAAAAATCAAAGATAGAATTCATTTCAAGTTTTAATGAAACATTTAATTATTGTCTTATTACATTTGAATTTAAGGCCACAAAATATATTTCACAATACATATTTAATATAGTTAATATAGTTAATTTATACATTTAGTATAGTTAATTTAACCATAAAATATAATTAATATAATAAATAATATTTTAAATTATGATAAATAAACTTTTTTAAGTATGTAATTCAATTATCCAATACATTTATTATAATTATTTTATAATTTAGGTAATTAAAAATGTGTTTTTGATTTTAGTAAATTATGATAAGTAATTTATAATATCTTTTAAATAATCATTGGTTTTTAATAAAATATTATATAAAAGGATAGTTACACATAATTTTATATTACATAGTAAATCGTAATTATTTATCATTTTATATATAAAGAAGGATTATTAACATATATAATTAACAATCTTTTTATATATTTTTTGAACTATCAAGGATAAAAACATTAATAATTATTATTTTCATATATTTAAATTTGAATACATTATAATCAATAATTTAAAAATATAAAATATTAGCTTATGACATGTTAAAAATAAATTATATTAATCATTAAAAATTATGATTACTGTTATATATAATACACAATCAATATATTAAAGTAAATTATAAGTGCCTATGCAAATTATATTTTGTTCAAAATACAATATTGAAAGTAACTTCTTGAATAGAATGTAAAAATAGTATAAAAACAATAAGAAAATGATAACATAATAAAATTAAAATTAAATAATGTGTAATTATTTTTATACAATATAATAAATAAATTATTCAAATAGTTCCTGTATTTAAAAATAATTCAATTGTCTTAATTTAAAATGTTTTTTTATTATGTTAAATCTTAACTAATTAACATTTTTTATTTTTGCGTTAAAAACAACCATAACTAAAGGAAAATACTAATAAAGATTATTGAAATATATCATAACTTTAAAAACTAAAATTTAGTAGTATCTTTTGTAGAACTTAAATGTTATTCTATCAGAATTTATGTATTGTTGGTTTATGTAGTGCATTCTCATAAATCTTAAACCCTACGTTTTGTTCAACTATTCCTTCATCACGTGAAGTTTCAATGCAGGAGTTGGTCTCCTTGAGATGCTGATCCAGTAACCTGCCATACCCAAGTTTTGAAAAAATCAAACGTAAAAATAATCAAACAGACATTATTTATCCATAATAAGAAAAGTTCACTGAAAATATAAGTTTATGATAACATATTAGTTACATGGATTTATAGTATGTAATAGAAAACTTGTATGTTTAATTTATCTTCATTGGAGACATAAGACCCTCTTGGCATGATAATGGAGCATGAGCTTCTCTCCTGGAGAAAGTAGATGGCTTCTTCTTGAAGAAACATTTTTGAGCAGAGCGTAGAGTTTTCTTGGCATAAAACCACAGCTTAGGTGAATTAGATCTTGTGACATAGCGAAGCACCAGGTAAAGAACCAATCTGTGAGCTACTAATAAGACAGCCAATGCTGTTAAGTCCCACCATTTGCTATGATCCAATGGAACCCCAAGTATCGATTCCAGGACTTGTTCTCCACTAACTCTGGGGTTTCCTGGCACCAAAGGATCAAATTCCAACCCCAGCATGTCATTCTTGTACTGTCCCTGTAGTTGGAAACAACATGAGAAAGGTTTTGTAGAAATCAAATTTGGTTTTGATTTAATTCTCAAAACACCTAACAATGTACTGTACCTGCACTGCCCAATGAGCAAAACTGAGGTAGGACATGGGATAGCGCCAGAAGATCTTTGGAATGTCAGGTAATCGTCTTGAAATTTGGGAGGGCATCATCATGAGGATCTGAAACCACAACCAAATAAATTGGTGATGAAGTTCTAAAAACGTTACCATTTCAGGAGATGAGAAGAATGGTTTGCTTACAATTACACCAGTTCCTGTTCCTAAGCCCATCAGCACATTGGGGACCACTGAGGATACAATCATGATGCAGCACTCAACAATAGATAGGGAGAAGAATAAGTCGACACATAAAAATGCATAATTAATTAATCCCGGATGAAATTGCACCATGAAGTAAATGATTGTTCCAGAGGAGAGTGATATTAGAACAAGGAAAGGGAATGATGATATCATGTTTGATACTACAAATGCAGCCTCTCCATAATGCCCTTTGGATCTTTCACCATAGAACACCTGATAGGAAGCAGCAGAATGTACTGTATGAATCTTGTATCTTTGAGTAAAAAAGAAAGATTTATATATTTTACCTTCAATTCTTCAATGAAAAATGGTAATCCTCCACATGACAAACAGACCATGAACCCATAGATAAATGATGTACACTTTCCTCTAACCATAATTGAGTCTTTCCCCGTGCCAATATTAAAAAAGAGGGTGCCAACAGTGATTGCTACCAGCATGTAGAATATTATCCTTAGCCAGTAGTAACCAATGTCCCTTCTCATGTTCAGGAAAGTTCGCACAGTCAATGTGCACAATTGCTTCCACCATGTGGTGCTGCTACCTCCTATATTTGTCTTAATTTCTTTCTCTTCCTACACATTTGCATCTCAGAGATCAATAAGATATAGAGCAATTGTTTAAGAAAACAAGACAAAAAAACGGGGGAAATATAATATTTCTTAATGAATACAGGATAATCAATTTAGAATTTGTATAAAAAGAAAGTTTTACTGATAAATAGTTAACAAACTGTTACATTAGATTTCAGTTGTTGGATTTTTCTTCTATTGACAGGTAGCACTGAGCTTTTATAACTCTGAATGAGTATCTCTCTTATCTCTGCTTTTTTCATTCCCAGTGCTGAATTTGATGAAGATGGCTGTCATTCAGGAAATTGAAATTCACATGTAGAAGTATTGTCAATTGAAATAAACAGTTAAAATATGAAGGCTCCAAAATTCATACCAAACCTACCTGGGTTGTTACTAGAGCTGAAGCAATCAAGTCAAAGTCCAGATTGATGCATAGAAGGAAATGATCTGGAGGATTTCTTCTAGTAGGACAGGATAACCCTGCATCAGCAAAAAACTATTCCGAACCTCATTTAGTGACTAAAAATGTTCAACTGAATTGTACCCTTTTTAGTGTGGTTGGCCAAATTGTTTACCTTTAGAGCCTTCTTCGATTTTCCAAAATAAACAGTTTCCCCACCTGAGAGCAAAAGCAAATCATCAAATAGATAAAAAATGTCACCACTGGGTTGGTGAATGGAGCAGACAACTATTTTCCCATTCTGAGCAATGTTGCATAGAGCTTGAATCACAAAGAAAGCTGAGGCACTATCAAGTCCAGTAGTAGGTTCATCAAGAAGTAAGATATGGGGTTGTGTCAAAATCTCAAGGCCAATGCTAAGTCTCTTCTTTTCACCGGTACTAATACCCTTACAATGCCAATTCCCAATCCTTGTATCTGCACAATCTTCCAGACCCATTTCCATTATGGTTTCTTCCACCACTTGGTTTATTTCTTCTTTGGTCATTTTGGAAGGAAGCCTCATGTTTGCAGAGAATGCGATGGTCTCTTTGACAGTCAAAGTTCCCAAGAAAAGGTCCTCTTGAGCCACATAAGACTGAAAAGTTATGAAATATAGATATTCACTCATGTCATATGCGTATTTTAAAAAGGACAAAGTGAAAAGGTAAAGTTTTGCATGATCTGACTATCTTACCACTTCTCTGGAATTCAAGCTTTTTTTCTTCCCATTGATTAGAATGTTCCCTGTCATTACAAGGTTTGGAGCAAGTTTTCCTGTAGAAAAAATGTGAACACTTATTTGTCTGTCACCAATAACACTATTTAGACAGCATATTTTCCTTGAATGGATCAAGCCTCCACTGTTTAGACATTATACTCATCCTTTAGGGTAACTGTTTAGTTGGTTATAAAGTTTCTCATTGCCAGGTTGTTAGGGTATTTTACAATTACATACAATAAAACTTACATTGTCTGTGTTGTTAGGGTATGTTTTTAGTCAGTATCTTATTCTGGTTTAGTTTTCTATTTCTAATTTTCAATTTTTTACTGTCATCAAGTGTTGGTAATCATTGTGTTTCTTCTTTTCCATAGAATACAAATAAAGAGTGTGTCTACTCATTTCTGTTTGGTTATAAAAAAAATGAAAACTAATAATTAACCTCTATTTTGTTTGTAAACATTTATTTTAAAAGTGATTTAAAAAACAAGTGGGTCTTAATCTTTCTATTTTAGAGATTCTATATTTACTTAAGAAAGAGACATATAACTAATCAATACGTGAGTGTAATTATATTTTTAATGTCCCAAGCAGAACAATGATTATGTCGTTTTTTTTTGGACAAAATTAATCAAATATTAACCTTTTTGAATGTCTCAATTTTATATATATATATATTTCATTTATGTTTCAAAGTAAATACATATTACTAATAGATGTGTACATTAATTAAAAAAGAAATAAAAGTGCAATAAAAAAATTTAAAAATAAGAAACACATGAAATTAAATATATATATTCTGAAAAAAAAAACCATTATTAAAAGAAACAAAAGGAATATCTACCTTCTACCATGCATGCAATCTACTTGTGTGAATGATCAAACTTGTAATTTACATTATTTAACTAAAAAAATTCTCAAAATCTACTATTGGATTAGAAATTCATTTTATATATTAGTTTAAGATTATTCAATATCTTATATAAATAAAACTAATATAATATATAATTTTAAAATATGTTTAAAAAGATGACAGTATCTATTTTTCATAAATTTTCACCTACAGTTGATGTAATATTATATTATATATTTACATTTTGAAGAACATAATATCACTTATTAAAATGTAAATAAATAAATAAATGCAAGCTGTTTTAAGTGAAAAAACATGTTATTAATGCTAACTATTCACCTGATATATTTTTAACATATACTAAAGGAAAACTCACTGCATCATAATATCAATAGTTATGAGTTATAAGAGAAAAGTTATGAAGTTTTGAGAAGTAAAATTTATGAACTGAAAATTGCAAAAAATGAGTAAAGAGAGACCAGTGAAAGAGTCAAGGAAGGTGGTTTTGCCGCAGCCAGAAGGACCCATGACAGCCAAAACCCTAGCAGGTTTAGCAAAACCAGTGATTCCATTAAGCACCACCTTCTTCTTCTTCTTCTGCACCTCAACTGTAAGATCTTCCCACACCATAGCCATACTTGCAGACAAGTAATGTATGTATCTGTGTACTTGGGAGGTTTGAGTTCAAGTTTTATGCTCTTTTTCTTCACTCGTACACTCTTTTATAGACCCTATTAAAGTTCATCCACCTTGCTGCATTTACAATGTACTTTTCAATACAACAAACTTGAAAGCGAAAATCTGAGAATTCACGTTAGGTTTTAATGGAGAAAACAAACCAACGTACTTGACATGTAGTTTTACGTCGTATACGTGTTGATATATACCTACGTGCTACGCGCTACTCTAATATTACGTTATACGTGTTGATATTTACCTACGTGTTAACGTTATTACATGTATACATGTTGATATATGTTTTTTTTTTTTCCTTTCCTTTGTCTCATAATATTAATGTTTTAGATATTCAAAATCTTTAGTAATGTTTCTTTCTATATAGTCCTTTAAAATAAGGTTTTCTAAATTGATTTCTTTACAAATTTATGTCAAAAAATTAATGTAAATAAATAAGTTAATTTAATAAAATAAAATAAAATAAATGGCTAAGGATCATATTTTATGATATGTATTATAATTTTTTTTGAAAATTAGAGAAAATAAATTAAAATTGAGAGAAAAAAAAATTTTAAGTTGGAAGATATAATTAAATAAGTATATTTTAACTCAGATACATATTAATTAAGGATTATTTTCTCCTCAGTTTATATTAATCTTAAAAAAAAACTTTTTGAATAATATATGTTTTAATTCACAAGTGTGTAAGTGTGTGCGCCTATATAAAATAGTGATTTTTAACCTGTTTCTGATTATAATATGTATGGAGAGATAATTCAATAACAACAATAATTTTAAATTTTATATATATTACACCATTAATTAACAGTAATAAATACATATACTAATTTAGTTTTACTAAGTGTTACAAGTTTTAAATTAAATTTAAAATAGACACAATTTGTGTTAGTGTATGCTAAGTTAAATTAATATAAAAAGAACTCGAGAATCATATTATTTTGGTTTATGTGATGAGAATTATATATTTGAAAAATACTAATAGTTAAAAATATATTTATTAGTATTTAAAAAAAATTAGAAAGTATATCAGATAAAAATTTTGCAGTCACATCTAAAGCAACAAGAGAGAAAAGCGGCACCGAAAACGTTAATGGAACAAGTAAAAAATGTCGGTTACATTACATAGATATACATGAATTTGTATGCAAGTGTTAGTATGTTTTTATTTCTAATATTGTTTTTCTTAAAAAATAATAATTAATAGTTGCGATGTATGTTATTGATAAATTTTATGTTTGTATTTCTTTAAAATATATTTAATATCATTTTTACAATTATGTTTTTATTTTCCATATATATGAATAAAAATTTGGATATTTCAAGAAATACAGGAACAAAAACTAATATTTAAAAAGTTGAATAAAAATTTAATATAAGTTTTTTACTTAAAATTATTAACATTTGGCTGAACAAATATTTAACAGCATTTCATTATATAAATTGTGTCTAACTCATTGAATACTAGAAGGAAATGGTGATGTAAGGAAAGCGTGTTTTGCTAATTAAGAAAGAGAAGAAAATAAAATGAAGGCGTGATTTCTGAGTCTTGTTTTTGACTTTTTATATATATATATATATATATATATATATATATATATATTAATTTTATTTTATATTTATTTGAAATATTTAGGTTTTTAAAATAAAATATTTTATTTTAAGGAAAATATTATTTTTTATTTAAATAACAGTGAATATATTTGATTTTATGATTAAAACTTGTATGGTCAAATTTGAATATCTCTATATAGTCTAATTTTAATAAGATATTTAATATTAGATTAGATTAATGTATTTATTAAAAATTAAAAATATATAATTCAAATTTATAAAACTAAGAGGGCTAAAATTATATATCATTTTACTTTTATTCCAAATTAGAATTTTACTTTATTTCTTCTTAAATTTGTATTGTCATGATATGAAATAGTATATCTAAGGAAATTTGTATATATTTTTACGTAAATATGATACAAAAAATTATATATAATTTTTAAAAATTATTATAAATTATTTTCATTATCTTAAGCCGTTGATCAAATAATTCATATTTAAAATTAAGTTTGATGATTGACCATTTATTTTGCATTACATAGAATAAAATCTTTTGACACATGTGTGATCATCATCACATGTAAACTAATCAAAGACGTTAAAACTTTTTCATATGATTTATGCATATAGGTTACCTCACCATTATTTGTATAAAACAATGACATGCTTTCTAACTTTTTCTTCCTAAATTTACAATATAAATGGACTATAATATATAAAAAAAATTAATGGAAGAAAATTTATCTTCAATTGATACACAACAATAGTTGTAGTCTCATTGTCTAATTAATTTTTAATGGTAAATTACTACATATTATATTAAAAAATATATAATATAGTTAAATATATCTTACATTCTTCTTAGACAATATGGTCAAATAGTAATAGGCAAGACTTTCTTCATACTTTAATATAAGAAATTTCATATCCATGAAAGATACCAATCTTTTCATTTTGGAATAATAATAATGGAACAAGTCTCTTAAAAATGTTACAAGGTGAGAAGAGTAGTTCACGTCAAGAAAATTATATGTTAATGTTTACTTTTTCCCTTGTAAAAGAAGCATAATGTTTGTAAATCATCCCAAATATCTTCCTTCTCCTTTTTACACTACATTGCCTAGTAGTTGGGTTCTTTTATTTTTTAGAGAATATATTATTGTTATTTTCCTCAAAGATTTAAAGAGAGTATTGTAATTTCTTTTAAAATTCTATTATTGTCTATTGTTGGTTTTGTTTCTCTTTTCTTATTTTTTTATTTTAGTTGAGTTCTTAATTATGCAGTTACTTTAATGTCTAACAGTGATATCAAAGTTGATGGTTCATTCAGTGACTGACTCAGTTGAGTATGAGTAGGTGAAAAGTTCTTGTATCAAATGGTTCAGTTGAGTATGAGTAAGTGCAAGATCCTTGTATCGAAAGTCTTCCTGACAAGAGTTTCAGGCAAACGAGTTCCATTGAGTTGAATGACGGCACAAGTAAGGTCACTACTGAGTACTTACGGTTAAGAAATATTTTCGTTCGAGGGAGAGGTGTATCAATGTGAAAGAGAATCACACTTGAGGGATATATTATTGAGAATTCAAGTGAGTTAAAGTCTCACATTGGGTAGAAATAAGAAAGTTTAGTAATTTATAAGTGAGAAAGATCCATAACCTAATGCCTTAAAGTTTTAGGTTAAAGGTGGTGTCATATTCTTTTATATGGTTGACTTATGTCCCATTTGTAGAATCTCTCTATTATTAGTCCCCTTTTGAGAATCTCTCTAACAGTACTGATATTAGAACAAGGTTGGTTTCTTGTTTATGATATTATTCCGGTGACAAGGAAATACTTTTTATCTATTAGTGACTCACTTCTCATTCCTGTAGGTAATATTATTCTTAATGAAAAATACATAAGTTGGTTAAAGCCAGCAAAATATGAGATTGAGAAGTAATGAGAATAGTTTCTCATTGTGAAAATTAAAGATGAAGACAATTTTGAGAAAAAACAATTGTGTAGAAGTAATTGGAGAAAGACTTGTGGGAATCACAGATCGAAGATGGTAAGAAATACACAACAATACTATAACAAATTTGCAAAGAAGGGTACAACGAAGAAGATTTTGGAGTCCCTCGTCAAATTGTATTAGGAGGAAATACATATTGGACTTGGTTTATTGTGATGTGTTGGAATCATCGGTATTATCCCTAGGAGGGGTCAAATATTTTATGTCAGTGATAATAATGATTACTCTAGGAGATTATGAGTGTATCACATCAAAAGGAAGTTTGTGTTTTTAAAGTTCAGGAAAGACAAATTATTATACTATACTAACAATGTGAAGGAGTATTTCCTGTGGATCCCACTATCCACAAGGTTATTGTTAGCGAGGATACAAATATTATTTTTCTCAAGATGAACTTGGAGAAATGATTGATGTGCTTCAACCAGAAGACTTAAAGATGAAAGAGACTTGGTTTGCAGGTTGTCCAAATATCTGTACGGTTTAAATCGAGTGTCCAAGTGTTAATATAAAAAATTTGATTGTTCATGATTAACCTTGATTACTATAGACTAAGTTCAGACTATTGTACCTATTACAATATATTTGATGAGAACAATTTTATCATTTGGTTATTGTATGTGGATGACATGTTAGTGATAGACCCCAAAGTTCGAATCCAAATTTTAAAGACACAGTTGACAATGAAGTTTGATATGAAGAACTAGGGATCAACAAACAAGATTTTAAGGATGCAAATTCATCGAGACAGAAAAGATAGGAATGTTTGACTTTATCGAAAGAATTACTCACTGAAGGTTTTATAGTGCTTCAACATGCGAGGGTGTAAGCTAGTTTCTGCCCCATTTTCTATCAAGTTATCCTCAAGTATGAGTCTTAGCAATAAAACAAGGAGGATGAAAATGTTTCGAACATTATATGCATTGATCAAACATTGCACAAACAGTGAGACTGATTACTAGATTAATAGAAAATTATGGTGGAGATCCAAGTTATAAGATGTTGTAGCTCTGTCTATTACAGAAGCTGAGTTCATGACAACCATCCAAGAATGAAAGGAAACTATTTGGATTAAGAGGATAATAGTGGAACTTGGGCAAACAACAAAAAATTGTTGTGTATTGTGATAGTTATACATTGCAAGGAATCTTGTCTTGTATTCTAAGACAAAACAAAAAGAACCTAGCAGATGTTATGATAATCGATTAGCAGATGTTATGACAGTCGGTTTCATAAAGACAATTCTACTGAATGTCTATTGCAAAAATAATAACATAAAAGATAATAATAATGCATTGTGAATATTTGATTAATTTAATCAAACTCTTCAAATGGGAGAATGTAATAAGAGAAGTCTCATATAAGGGAAATTATATGT